ACAAGGAGTGAATCTTCTTAGAGAGGAAACCAGATCTGCAGGTGTTTCCAATAAAAACATGTATTTATGCCACACTTCGGCAGAGAATCTGTGATGGTTCTCACTGCTTAAATTCAGGCTGGTTAGGATGGCACTGAAGGCCCTCAACAATTCCCTTATGCAAAGTGCCTCACTGGCTCAGAGGGAAAGACATCCTCTTACCGTCCCGTTCCTGCTCTTGCTTTTTTCATTACCTAAGATTTCTCTCTCTGCCTCCGCTTCCTCAGAGAGTACTGAATCTTCCTCTTGGAACCAGACTCAGTGTTTTTAGCTTTGTGAATTATGGTTGCAGTTCCCTCTCCCACGGTGCTATGCCACACCACATCAGTATTTATCTCTACGTTGCACACCCTAGACTGCAAATTCTTTGAACATTAGAAGAGTTTTCTCTACATCCTCTTCCCTTTGTATCTTCAACTGTCAATACTGGCCTGATGTTAAAATCAACATATTATTCAATTAGTAAGAATCTATGGAGTAGCTACCCAGTACACTGCAAAGTAAATTGCATGATCTTGGGTGGTGGCACGAGTGAGTAGTGGCCCCACCAAGATGAGAACAAGTCAGTGTCTCCTGTGAGCCTACAGGAGCGTGGACTGAGAATCAAACATCACATGTCCTCCCCCCAGCCGCCCCGATAGCAACTGGATGGTGTCGGAGTTGACAGCAACTCAGGTACATGAAGCAACTAAATGCTCGTATTGTTGGGTCAGCTGTGCTGACCTGGAACCAGAGGTCTGAGCATCTCTTGGGAGGATGACAGTATGCAATGTAGCAAATATGGGGGACTTCTTTCTGTCTTGTCTTTGAAAGCCATTATTGTTTTCAGTGTTTTGCTTTGTTCTGATTGTTTTGCTCTATTCTGTATTGATAGGTTTTATAATGTTCTGTTTTTGGTTTGATGTTGCCATACCTGATTGAATGGACAAATATTGTGAAGATAATGAGATGTACTATGGTACCTATTACTGTTATCCCAGTATCCTGCTCTGAAATTCTATAATAGTTTCACTGCACTGTCTCAGTTGGCTTTGTTCTGTCTTGTTTTGTTGTATTTTACTACCTTCAAAAAAATTACATGATCTCTACTTTTAAGAAATCTAAACTGTCATTTGGAATCAAAACAATGTTCCAATATATACAACACATTCCATAAGGAAGCTCCAGACTCTGACATGCACTTCATGGAGGATCAGAATTCAGGGAAAGGAAAAATTACTATTAACTGAAGTATTAAATAAAGGAGACCAATGTAGACAGTCTTAAATAAGATAAAGGCTGGAAGGAATTGATACAAAATCATTTACGAATGAAATTTCTGGTGACTGGCAACTTCAGTTGATCAGATGGATTCCAGTTTGGTGTCATGTGCCTAGGAGAAAGAATCACCATGCACAGTATTATCGCTTATACCTGGATGTTCCCCCAAAGCCTCACATGCTCATGGGTGGGGCTTTAGAGAGGTGGCTGGATGGAGGCTGTGTGGATGTAGATTAAGAATGTGTGAGAGGGCCAGGGATATAGCTCAGTGACACAAGTGCCTGTCTGGCAAGTGTGAGGTCATGAGTTCGATGTCTGGAACCAAAAAGAAAGAAAGAGAAAGAAAGAAAGGAAGGAAGGAAGGAAGGAAGGAAGGAAAGAAGGAAGGAAGGAAGGAGGGAATAAAGTGTGGTATGTGGATTAGTCTTCTATTTGGACTAGCATAGTTCTGGGTGTGGTTCAATGGATTTACTAAAGAGGTACCTCTGGGTGTGGGTTGCAAATCAATGGGTTTGTAGCCTGGATGGAATATAAAGGAAAGCTGGAAGGCAAAGCTTGCTGGTTGGTGCCTTCTGCCTGCCTGCCATGGACTGTTTCCCCTCTTTGATTCCCCTCTTCAGGGCCACCCTGCCTCGTAGCCAGCCATCTATGGACTGAACCCACTACAATCCATGAACTTAAATAAACTTTTCCTCTTTAATTTGTAGGTGTCACATATTGTATCTCAGCAATGAGAAAAACAGCATTCACCTTTTTTGGATTATCTCAAATTATGCAGCAAACAAAATCTTGACAACTATCCTATTTCAAGTGACACAACCCATAAGCCTCTGAAATATGACAGTCATTGCATTGGCCCCAGGTAATCATGTCCGGAAGATAGATTTTGAAGGATTGTTTTGGGGAGCTGGAGAAGTCACTAGGGTGACTAACAAACTGGCTACCACCCTTGTATGCTGGACTAACACAGAGACTGATATCCCTTGACTCAGAGCTCTTTTAGGGTTACACACGGTGCTCTGCGTTCCTTCAGGTCTTACACCGTGGTCGTTCCTTGGCTTCTCTGCATGTGGGCAGGCAGGGGGAGAAGTGAGAAAGCCCGCGTGGGTAGAGGCTATCATCTGCCAGATTCAGGGAGCTCAAGATACCTAAAGCAATATTGTCCGATCTTACGAAATGTGTTTCCAATGCTCATGCCTTTAACAGCCTCACTGCACTGGATCTTCAGAATCATGATCAGGAGTTTTACAGACTGAAGAAGACTCCACTCGGTTCAATTTTCAAGGGTTTTCAGCTCTAACAAATTTCATTCAAGCTCCCCAAAAGTCTTCCAAGAGAAAGGCCAAGGTGGTGCAGAGCGTAGAGCACGAGAGATACGGGCGGTGTTTGCACGCTGCGCCCTCACCCACCGAGCTTCAAACTCTCACTAACAGAGTCCTTACCGTGGTCTGTGAAAAATTCTCAGAGGTGGTGGGGTTTCTAAGCACAGGGTTAACACTAAAACTCTAAACAAACTCTGGTAATTGATAGAGTTTTCTTTCTATTATCAGACAAACTTGCTGATGCCTTTCACTCCGTACTCACTAACGCTAGCTAATGAAGAATAGTCATAAACTGTCATGTAATGCAAAAACCAGAACACAGGAAGTCTGAACTTTTTAGTCTGTAAGCTTCATGACTTCCTCCAGGGTGACCCCAGTGCTTAAATGTGACTGATAACATCATAAGTACTCATCAAATATTTGCTGCTGTATAAAATTTTTTCTACTTAATATTTGTAAAAGGCATTACTTGGTATAAAATGACACTGTATAAAAATGAAGAGATGGATTCCTCTACCAGAGAGCAAATGATCATGAAAAGAGAAACCATAAAAGTTTTTAAAGTTGTTTTATAGCTTTTTCTTAATTTTTGAGTTTGTGGTTTCCCTCAATTTTTGGCAAGCTTATCTATACATTTTAAAGTCTATAATAATGTATCTAACATTTTGGTATATTTTGTAGATGAATGGTTTTTTAAATTTATGTAGTCTAAGTCACAACTGGGATTATGGATTAAATTCCATTTTTGCTCCAAGTTATCCTGTGTGGCTATTTACACAAAAATTCTTTATTGAGTACCTATCATATTTCTAGACATTGGACAGCAGCAGACAAAATCCTTCCCCCAGTGGAAATTATATTCTGATAGCAGAAAGTAAATAAACATATAATATAGAAGAGATCACAAATTGATAAAATTTATAAAGGAAAACTAAGTGCAGAATAGGGGGAGTTCCTGGTATGTGTGTGCATGTGCGTGTGCGTGTGTGTGTGTGTGTGTGTGCATGTGCAAGAGATTGATGTGGTAATAGTGATCTCATCTTCTATCTGCATGTATCAATGTGGAAGACAAGAGGGTGAGATGATGGACGTGGTAGTTGCCTATTTAGGTATCTGTCTGCTCCTATCTATCTATCTATCTATTGTGTATCTACTACCTGTTCGTAGAGAGAGAAAGGAGAGAGATGCATAGAACAGTCTGCATTAAATATTAATATGGTTATTTCTAAGCTGTAGATTTTGCTTTGTTTGCATTTTTGTTGTGCTTCAGATTTTTAAAAATTATGAGCATCCATCATTTGCATTTTTAAAATAAGTCACTCTGAAGGAGAAAAATATAGACAGGAAAGTAAATAAACAAAAAGGTTTGAAATAGAAAGGCCAACAATAATGATCCAGAAATGACACATACAGGTACTCACTCACATGAAGTAAAAATTTATGCCTGTATAAAAAACTGTACACAAAGGCTAATAGTAGCTTTATCCAGAATTTCCAAACATAAACAAACAGTTGCACATCCATATTCAGTGACAAAAACAAGACAGCTATAGCACTATAAAAAGACATAGAAGAACCTTAAATATTTATTGCTATGTGAAAAAAGGCTACATTGTTGGTGGCACACACTTGTAATTCCACCACTCAGGAGGCTGAGGCAGGAGGATCACTGCAATTTTAAGGCCAGACTGGGCTACAGAGTGAGTTCAAGCCTTGAGCCTACAGAGATACCTTGTCTCAAACTTCCCTCCAAATAAAAATAAATAAAAAGTTACCCTTATATAATTCAATTTGTATGATTTAGAAAAAAAGTGAGAAAAAGTTAACATTTTCCTCGCACTCAGTGTGAAGAGAAGAAAGAAGACTGTAGGACGGCGAAACTACTACTGTGCGGGTGTGATGGTGGTCCATGACATGTACTTGTCAAAACCTACAAAATTATACAACCAAAAGAGTGTATCTTGGACTTTAACGTAACAGTAATGTGTCAATATTTAGTTTGTCAATGAGATCATAGGCCAACAACACTTCCACTTATGAATGAGAACAACTCTCACTGGATCCTTAAACAGAGCAAAGGAAGGGTTAGAAGACAGCGATGAAACTATTGCCTTTTACATCTCATTCTAGTACCTTTTAAACTTGATCTCAGCAAGTAAACAAGTCACACAAGTAACACATACCACACCCTCCCTCGCAGAGGTTAGATGCAAAATTTCATGAAAAATGAACATTGGATAATAAAACAAGACTGAGCACAAAATAGATCATTGAAATCTTTTATCCTTAAACCTGGTTTAAAAATAATATATTTTTCTTTCTTACTGAATTCAAGACTCATACACCTAAATACTGTGAGGAAATAGAGCACATGCTTACCTGAAGCACTTTCCTAATTCTTTTTAGATTGTGTATCAAGAGCAGGTTTTTCTCTTTTGAAACACGACCTAACTGTTCATCCAGCTGTATTAACAAGTTTTGAAGAAGAATTGTTGCCATGGTTTCATTGTTAGAAGCTGCCTCCCTAAAAATCAAAGTATTATTACACATCAGGAAACAACTTAGTGAAATGACGACTTCTTCACCATGTGAATTTGAAGGTGATGGATCTGTCAGGTGGTGATAATCATAAAGGTTTGCTAAAATTGAACTTACATATAGAAAGATGTTCACCATCACAGCCATTAGGGAGCTGCAAATCAAAACTCAGTGAGATGCCACCTTGCACTCATTAGGAAGCCATTATCAGAAAACCACAATGACAAAATGGAGACAAAAGCAAGTCTTCTCAAGGACACTGAAAAATCAAAACCCTCGAGATTGGAGGACGGGAATGAAAAGGTGGGACCATTAGGGAAAACTGTGTGACAGTTACTAAGAAGATTAAATGTGAAATTACATGATCCAACAGTTCTCTGTTTGGGTCTACACTCAAAGTTATTGAAATCAGAGACTCATCAGATATTTGCATGCCAATGTTCACAGCAATTTCATTGACAACAACCGAAGGTGACTGGAAACAACCCAAATATCCAATGACAAGGAACTGGCCCAACAAAGGTGGTGCGTACACACAAGTGGTGTTATTTAGCCTTGAAAATAAAGAAAATTTTAGATTGTGAAAATTTAGCATGAGTGAATCTTGAAAACATTATGCTAAATAGGGTAGCCACGAAAGGACAAGTAGTGTGAGATTCTACTTCCACAAAATATGTAGAGTGATCACACTCATAGACAGAAAATAGGACCATGGTTTCTAGGGGCTGGGACCAGAGGAAGGAGTTATAGATGATACTTGCACAACAATGTGAATATAGTTAATGCCACTGAGCTGTGTACTTAAAAATGGCTAAAATGCAGAGCAGGGCATGGTGGCACATGCCTGTAATTCCAGCACTTGGGAGGCTGATGCAAGAGAATCACCATGAGTTTGAGGCCAGTCTGGGGCTACATAATGAGTTCAAGGCCAGCCTGAGCTATGTAGTGAGACTCTGTCTCAAAAAAACCAAAACAAACCCAAACCAAAAAACCCCAGAACAACAACAACAAAAAACAACTGGTTAAAATGGTAAATTTTATATTGTGTATTCTTTGCCACAATTTTCAAAAGGTGACAAAAATTAAATGGTAGAGTGTGAATGGGTTTTGGAGGAATGTTTATGGTCAGATAGTTTCATGTAAGAGAAGGTTTTATGAGGTATTCCTCACTTGGAAAGGCTCAAAGGGGTCTTCGGAGATGCAGGGGGAATAGAGCAGGTAATTTTCCTTCAAGATGCTTCTAGTCAGGGGCAAGGAACAGGGAAGGAGCAGCTGTGAATCCCAATTCATGCAGGCAGCTGGGGGCGGGACTTGGGGTGTCTAGGGGAGGGGGAAGATCTCTGGAGAAGGTAGAACAGAAATTCCTAAAGCGGGTATTTGTTTACATTGAGTCTCTGACAGGGAACTGATACAATAAATAGATTCGCTCTTGGTTCTTTTAATGTGAAAAAAATGGAGGGGGTCAGCTTATAGAAAAAGCACTAAAACCTCTAAGTTTTCAAACTATGCAGACAAAACTAGAAAAGACAGTGGTTCCCTGGCAACATTCTCTCCTTAAAAAGAATTCATCTATTGCATCAAAAGCAGATCGGAGCATAAATCCACACGGACAGACCACAAAGCAGTTGTGAATCGACTTCTAGGGAAAGTGTGTTGGATCCTACCAGTCTTGATTTTCAATCCACTGGGCCAGCAGATGTCGTATTTCCATCGGAAAGTTGTCATCATAGAATTGATCTACTTGTTCCAAAAACTTCATCTCTAACTGTTGGACTTGATTCCACTGAGCCATGCTATAAGGAAAAGGGGGAGGGGTAAATTAAGGAGTTCAAAACATTGTTGATTGATCGGTACGGTACACGTTTACTTCCTTTCTTGGATTTCATCAGATAAAGATAAGTAACGAGAGACAAATTCCTCTGTTTTGTATAGTCACTTAAAGAGGACAGAAAAGAGCTTTTGAGGCAAAGATAAGGTAATTCCTCTTCCCTCACTCTTGAGTTATTCCTAATGAAGCAAACAGTCTCTTTCCTCTGCCCTAACCACATCCTTTCTTGCTTTAGCATGACCTCCTGCTCCTCCTCCCAGAAGCGTCCGCTGCCCTCCCCAAAGCACCCGAGTCCTGCCCAACTTTCTACCTGCCTTGTGTTCTCAGCCAACCCTTGCCAGCCCTCCCAACTCATCCTCTACTGTCTGCCGCTGAGAAGCCTCTGCCCACCAAGACCTCCGCGAGGGTTTATTTCCAAGGAACAACTCCAACCAGCTTCTTTCACAGGAAACTGCCTAAATATTTTTTACTTTCCTTCAGATTTGCCTGGCTTCTAGTGATCTTTCTATTCCTGACTTCCTGATCATCTTTCCTGCCATCATATCCTGATTTTTCATGTCTGTATTTGCACAGATTCTACAGCCGTCAGTTCAAACTATTTCTAAATTCACAAATATTTTTATTTTTCTCTGTGGTGATCCACCGTGGCTGAGCAAAGCTTTTCAAGTCTACCTTTAGCTTGCCTCTGATGTGTATCTGATGGTGGTTAAACCCTCAAGTTACTGAAGAAAGGAGAAACCACATTTGATATATATTTGGCAGCCGGGCATGAAGACACAAGCAAGCATTTGTGCCCTGTCACCCGGTTCCAGGCCCGGTGGAGCTGTACACGCATCTCCCAAGTTGGGAGAGTTAACGTGACCATGTCTTCTTGATAATGCAGCATTTTAATTTCCTCCAAGTCAGAATTCTTACTGTCTTGCCAAGAACACTAGGTCAAAGCAAAACTCACCATAGTAATTTAATTCAACGTATCTCAAAAGTAGGTTAAAGTTTCTTTTTGCCTACAGAACACCGTGCCCCCAAATTTCCCATACATGTTCTCCTGGTTGCAAATGGAGCCATTTTTAAGGATCTTTTCCCCAAATTTCCTCCCAGTAAATGATTAAAAATGTGTAGAAAGATGATTATTGCTGATATTTAGCTAAATGGCAAGCAAATGGGAGAAGAAATTATCTTTAATTTGCGTATTACTTTATGTGTATGAAAACCTTTGATGTTGCAATTCTAGGTATATTTTAAGTGCTAAAGAAATACCTGGTAAAAGAGGAATCAAGTGAATCAGGAGGTGAATTGTAAACATCATCTTGTCTTTAAAAGTGAAAAAAAAAAAAAAAACCCAAAAACCTCAGGGCCAAAGAGGTGACAACTAATTAATCACAACTGAAAATGGAAGCTGAAAACAGCATCACAACTTTTTCTTTTTCTCTCTTTCTTTCTTTCTTTTTAGACAGGGTCTCGCTAAGTTACTAAGTTTTCCAGGGTGGGCTTGAACTTGCTATGCACGCCCTGCCTCTGTCTCCCAAAGTGCTGGGATTTCAGGTGGGTGCCACCATGCCTGGACACATTCTCAATGTTAAGTGCTAATGCTGCCACATCCTTTCTATGATTGGGATGAAAATCTGTTTTCTAAGAATTCATCTAAAAGTTAAATTATTCCAAAGTCTTGAGTCTTCCTTTCAAAGCATTAAACTCAAAGCAGAAAAAGGAGGGAAAATAAGGCATAAATTATTCAGAACATCGGTTTTCACTGTAAATAATGGAAATAATGCCGTCAGATCTCCTTCAGCGTGTTTCTTTGCTTTCCTGAGGGCTAATTTCTCATATCCCATGACAACCTGCGATCCTTCACAGATGGGGACACCAGTGCCTGTCTGTTCCCTTGGGCATTCTGTCCCACCCCTGGGAGCTGGTGAGAGAGGCTGTCTTGGTTCTTAGAACAGCAGCTTCCAAGGCAGATGACTGCCCTCCAGATCACTGGCACGGATGAATGGGTGAAGAAAATGTGGGATTCACACACGATGGAGTACTACTGTGCCGTAAAGAAGCATACATTAGAGTCATTTGTAGGAGAATCGTGCACCTTGAGATCATAACACAAAGTGAAATGAGTCGGTTTAAGCTCACATGGCTTCTCTTATATGAGAAACCCAAACCGTACACAATTTAAAAAGCAAACTAAAAGACAGTAGGAAACAGGTAGCTAGATCTTTCTGCAAACAGGAAGAGAGTCCAGAGATGGAAAAGGGATTGAGGGGTGGGGAAGGACAACGCCAAGAATCAGCATGCCTTGTGCACATGGACCAGCTCCCCGCCACGGATGCAATCATGAGACACTGCAAACGTGTACTAAGAAAAGCAATGCCATGGAGCCCCTAGAAAAGCAAAGGGAGAAAGTGGCCGGCATGGGTCACCGCCGCAGACCCCGCTGCAGGCTCCGCTTGGAAGCCAGGTGGCCGGGCTCCTGTGAGGCAGGCAGGGCGCTCAGGGGCGCTGCCCCGGGCCGGGCCGAGCCGCCCCGTCCCGACTCTCACCCCTCCCAGCCCCGGGCCCGCGCGCTTACCTGGCTGCTCCCGAGCCCGTCCGGAGCTCAGGCCCCAGTCCAGTCGCCTCCCTCGCCCGGACCCCAATGCCGCGCCCTCGCCCGGCCTGGCCCGGGGATTTGCATTTCTCCTCCCACTTGAGGCTTTCCTGTGCGTCAGCGTCAGAGTCTCTGGGACTTTACTCGGGTCTTCCCAGCGCCCGTCCGGGGTGACAGCAGCGGGGTGCAAGCCCGCGGGGCGCCTGTGCCCTCCGCCCTCCCGGCCACGCCCTCACCGGTCAGGGCGCCAGCGGCTTCGGGGTGGGGGTGCACACGCACACGCAGGCTTCTTGGGATTACCCCCCCCCCACACACACACACACATTGCAGTCCCTCTGCAAACCTGCTGACCTGGAGCTGAAGTAACTCCCTAGCTCCTCCTGGGTTCAGATCCCGCTCAGCCCGGCGGGGACATGCAGGCGCCTGGACCCCGGCTCCAGGGACCTGAGCTCCAGTGCAGGTCGTTAGAGCTGGCCCTCAGTGCCCAGCGTCCTCTGTCCGAGTCGCCAGGGAGACTCTCTCCCTCTATGACATAGCCTGTTCTAGAACCTCAGAGCTTGAGAGTCCCCTCGCCGTGCTAAACCTGCCTCCTGTCTGAAGCGACCCAGGGCCAGCGAGGTGACCAGAGTCATCCCTAGGATGCAGCCCACAGGAGAGCCTGCCCCTCTCCTTGGAGATAGATGTTATCTCCTCCGTGCACAGCAAGGGGTCTGAAAATGTTCAGCGACATAAAGACCAAGGTGAAAGGCTCGGTCCATTATGTACCTGCATGAGCAGGGTCACAGCCGATGTCACCGTGCTGACTGCCACACACAGGTGTGCCCTCTGCTTCTCCCCTCGCCCAGATGGCATTAGTGCCATGTTCTTGAAGCTACCACCACGTGCCTCCTCAAAACTAACCCCAAAGTCAACTCTGCTTATCATTGAATTTACCATTCAGGTGTGCCCAATCCCCAGCGGTTTCCTGGACCTCCAGTAGCTCAGTCCCCAAAGGAACAAAGTCCCTGATTTAGGCTATTCCACAGGTCCCAGGGAGAGACCTGCTTTCCTCTGTGGAAGTGGTTGCTGTCCATAGGAAGAAGTCCAATTTCTTGAAGGTCAGAGTCCAGTTCAGTATGAATCTTTTCTCCCCACACAGCCTACCATGCAACTCAGAGCTGTCTCCTTGGTTACCTTGATTAACCGGAGGGAGGCTCCCCTCCCTTGGAAATGTCCTCTCCAGCTTCTCCGCTCATTCAAATCCTATCCTGGTAAAAGCTTCACAGAGGACCCAAATCCATCCCAATTTCTTGCCGCCCTCAAATCCTACCACAAGTCTCGCTCAAACTAAAGCTGTCCAGAAGTAAAATACAAGCTATGTACATAAGGTTTTTTTGATAACCACATTAGACTAGGAAAAAGGAGCAGGTGAAGCCAAGACTAAATAATAAATAGATGCACCATAGTAAGATTCTGGCATGTAATTCATGTAGAAGCTCTTCATGAGGTGCTTTGCGTTCCTGATTTCACACTGGCTCTCAGAAGTGTGGCATGAATGTCACACCTACAGCCCCTCTCAGCTCAGCCTGGCTGCATTTCTCAAGTTTCAAAACCACATACGGCCAGTGGCTGCCATACTGGACAGCACAGGTCCGGATTCTTTGGCACTTTGTACTTTCTGCCTGGAAGAGAGCAATGGTTCTCTTTCTTAGAACCTTTTTCAAATTCTCTGATCTCAAGACATCTTTATAATTTTTAAAATTGTTCACAACTCCTCCCAATATTGTATTTTTGTTCTGCAAGAAATTTTTGTTCCCTGTATTAAAACTTAAAGCTGATACAAATAAAAATATAACAAAATTTATTTTATTTTATTTACTTATATATTTTTTGGTATTGGAAATCGAACTCAGGACCTTGCGCTTGCCAGGCAAGCACTGTGCCACTGAGCTATATCCCCAACCCAACAAAATCTGTTTTAAAAACTATGTCTTCCCACACTAAAAAATTGGTGAGTGGCATTGGTTTAGATTTTTAAATATCTTTAACATTTGACTTCAAAGAACACAGCTGGATTTTCATATTTGCTTCTGCATTTAATTTGCTGTAAAATAACATTTTACAGAGAAATACTTGAAGAAAACAAAAAGAAAATTCATACTGATGTAGTTATATAGTAGTTAGAAAAGGGAAGAGTATGCTTGTAGACTTTTCAGAGCATGCAGTCATTCTTCGTGGAGATCACTCCCAGACTCACAAAGCGATAGCTTCATAAGGGCCAGCTGCACTGTGGAACGTAAAACTTGATGGCATGATTTATGCCAGTGGCCCCCAAGCCTCATGCAATTATGGACTGGACGAAATGTAGCATTTGTGATTGGTTCGTTGTCTAGCGCTGGGATTGGTGATGTGAGTGCTACACCCACCTAGGGGCGGAGCCAGGGTACCATGTAACTGCGGGGCGGAAGCTGTGTCTCTCTTTTGTCCGTTTGGGCCTTGCTGTTTGCATCCGGCCATGAATGGTGGCCCACCATGCCACCTTACTGCTTGGAACCAGCTGAGTATGGACTGAAACCTCCAAGAACTGTAAGAAATAAACCTTTCCTCCCCTAGCTTTGGGCATCGGGTATTTTGTCTGAGCAAGGAGTAAAAAGTCACCAAGACACCTTATCAACAAACTTGATGTATATAGTTACATTGGAATGCACTGGTGTACCTTGTATTTAAAGTGGGATATTTGCTCACACAGTTTGGTGGCCCATTGGTTATTCAGAAAATACTAGTTCATTGAATTATGCACATTTCTTAAAAGCTGACATATTTCACTATACAACAGCAGAAAATCACATCAGGTACTATCACAAATCTGATCTCATCAGAAGAGCGTTTTAAGCCATGGGAAGGTGTCAAGCTCAGGGTGACGGAAACTGCTCTACATTCTATTCTTTCTGAATGGTCTGAGTTTATTATCGACAACAGACGTGGCCAGCTGGTTTCTGACGAACCAAATCCTCGAGTGAACACTTCAGTCTCCCAGACACTGTCCTGTAGATGGCCCTTTCATATCCATGCCTCCCATTTCCATACTCGAAACACGTGTGCTCAGGGGCTGATATTTAGTAAAATTAACCCCTTTTACCACTTCATCAAAACTGTTAAGTCAAAGCATCGTCTTTAAAGTTTTGAAATAACTTAAAGTAACTACCACTGTACTTTGGCCATGCTCCTTCATCTCATGCTAGGGTACTTGCAGTTCTCCTCAGCATTGCTTTGGTGCCATTCATACAATAGAGTGAAAGCCAAAGTCATATCAGTACTGTTATGACCTGGACAGGTCTGGGGGCCATTTGCAGGGATCTTAAGATGCGCCACTGCCATATCCCGTTCACTGTAATCAGCCTCTCTGGGTGAGTACATCATTGGGGAATCTCTGTCCAAAAACCATTTTGCTCTCATGGAACCATGTGCCTTGGGCCTCTCTCTGTGTTTCACAGGCCCTGACCACTAGGAAGAGCATCTCTATGCCCACTGAACTTCTAAAGGGCCAAGTCCTCAATGTCTTGATCCTACATGGCTCTGGTCCAACTCCCACCAAATAGACAAATGTGAATTCCCCATAAAGTTTCCCAAATTGAAATCAATTCCTCCCTCCCCTCTGCATCAGCTCCAGCTCCCCCAGTTATAAACTCTTCACCTACTTTTTGTTGCCTCATCCTAATAGATTTTTGGTTAGGGAATTTTTTTTTTTTTTCACTTTTAGAAAAGTAGCCTTTAGTGCTAGCCTGACAATTTCCTGCAGTATGAGGTGGCACGAGTTATCTGAATTCCAAAACCCCTGTGTGTAAAACTAGGGATATTATATCCTTCATAAAATGGGGAGGAAGTTTCAAAGAACTAATATAAGTCACAAAAAAGGGACGAAAGACTTGATGAAAAATAGTTGTTAGAATCCCGATCAAGTTGTGAGGAACCATTCACCTTTCCTCCCCGTTGTATTTGTGTTGCACAGGGAGCCAGGGGTGCTGAAGACAGGCTGGGAGGTGACAGCTCGAGCTCGCCAGTAGGAAGCAGGCCGTATGGCAAGTGAGTCCCAGTGTGTTTCCACTGTGCCTGGCCGAGCTGCTTATGTGGGAGGCAGAGATAGAAGAAAAGAGGGGAGACATCCTCTCACTGCCCGGAGTCAGCTCGCTCTTCTCCCAATTCTTGTACCAAGAACATTTGTGTCTCCCCTGCAAGCTTCCTTGGTGGTTTCTGGGGGGGCTAGAGTGAGCCGGAGGAGGCTGGACAGACAGAAAAGTATGCACGTAAGCATGTGTCCAGCACAGTTCCAAACGAGCCGTGAGTCTGACCAGCTCTTCCCTGTCCAGAATGCTCAAGCTCCATGCTATCAAAAGAGTCTGGGGTCTAGGGCTTCCGGGCTTCCTTGTCTAGTTTCCAGTGTCTGTGCTCCCTCTGCTGCCACCTCCAAAACATTGCAATTGATGAACCTCAACTTTCTTCCAAATAATAGTTCCAGCGCTTGCGTGGCTGAGGCTCAGCTGGATGGGGGTGCTAGGAACTTCTCCTGCACTGATTTACCTAACTCTGCAACTCAGCATTCCGGCACTGAGTACCACTGTCATCTCCAGCTGGGGAAGGAGGTGGAGGGTGAGGAGGCTCATAGCAGGATCTATGCTCAGGATGGATCCAGAAACACTGCCCCTCTCCGTCCTGCTGGAAACTCAGCAGTGTGCAACCCACTGCTCTGTCTAACTAGTGCACATTAACAGCACACACAAATCTCACCTGCTCTTGCGAGCGAAGCAGTAAACTGCTCAGAGAGCTGTGGGAGAGGGAAATTGAATGATTTAAACATAAATTTCAGGGTAGAGGGCTCACGGCACAGTCTGCTGCTTAAGACAATGCGCCTGCTGTGATTCTGCAGCTTTCTCTCGGGCTGTGCAGAGCCAAGCTCATGTTTAAAAGCCCTGACGTGTCATGACTCCAGACACTTGTCAACAGAACACCAGGTTGTGTGGTTCTGCAGCCTTTGTTCATCCTGTCCGGGAAGGGTATAATTTCTGCTGAGCCACAGAACATAGAACAAGAGAATTGAACTGTAGACTTTTCCAGAAAGGAAATTCCATTTGTCTGGTTAAACCACCCTTGAACATCCGTGTTCTATCTGATGTAATTGTTCACATGTTGGTTTACTTCAGAGCTGAATATTTAGGGTCAGGACAAGATGCTACTTTTCTCCTTGTCTCAGTGTGTAGATCAG